AGAAAAACTAAAAATTAAAAAAAACAAGCACACATGCCTATAAGGCTAATAGACCTCAATGAACCCCAGTCAAGCAATCATCAACGGTCAGTGTGTCCCTGCGCTGCAATATCAATCAACCCACACGCCATGCAGAGAAAGAAACACGCAAAGAATATAGAGGGATTCACCTTCGCCATGCACACGTCCACCAGCAGCTTCCATTAGAACACCGCAGTGCAGCCCAGCACACACATTGAAACAAGAAGCAGCAATAAGGGACTGTGCACCAATGCAGGACTGCTGCTGCTGTCACTTAACCGAGCGGCAATCGTACGCAAGACATCCTTTGAGTGGACAGTACCTGACGGGGTAGTTACTGTTTCCCTCACATTCCTTGCTTTGCGTGGCTCCTCAGTTGTCTTAGGCTCTTCGGTGGTCACCTCGGGCCCTTCGGGTTTTTTAGTCCCTTCGGGCTTTTCGGGTTCTTTGGGTTCTTCAGTCACTTCGGGGGATTCGGTCATTTCGGGTTCTTTAGTCGCCTCGGGCGCGTTAATCACTACGGGTTCTTTGGTCACTTTCTCAGGTGTTTGATTACCTCTCACACCTTTCGAATCATCCGTTGGTACATTTGCCGTGGTTGGAGAACTTATTTGAAAGAGAGCTTTGAACTGATTTATAAGACTTTCAAGCTTTCTCATTTTGTTTTCCGCACTTACAGCTTGCGAGTTCGCCTCCCTCTCAAACTGAAAACACTGTTTACCGGCGTGAATGGCACGCTCCTTCAGTGTCTCTGCCTTTTCCTGTTTCCTGTGGCTCTTCTCAGCGACCATCCATTGTTTGGTCATGTTGACTTTCTGCTCTTTTGCATCATCAATTGCAAATACATAATCTCTCAACGCAGGCTTATGAGCCCATATTAAACTGCTCAAATTGTCATACGCCTCATAACAAGAATTGCCCAACTCCCTTAGCGTGGACGCTGATCTTCTCAGCTTGCCAACAGCATCTTTGACTTTTTGTACTGCATCTGTAGCATTCTTCAGCAACCCTGCAGTTAGATTCCCAGCGAGATCGCTTTCATTCAGAGTACCCGTTCTTTTCTTCTTTATCACAGTTTCAATCTGTTGGCACATATTATCGGCTTCCTCTGCAGCAGATTTGGCAAGTTCAGTATTATTACTGAATAATTTCCTTTCATCCCTCAATTTAAACAAGTTAATAAATGTGCTATTACGTGTGGCATTAATATGACTTTCAATATATCTTAATCTTTTTTCCTTCCTTAATACAACGTCTTTTGCAGATTCCTCCACACTTTGCGCATATGCCACACTAGTACAGCAGTGCAGAAGTACCAACAGGTACACCACGCGGCGCAGTTGGACGAACATCGTTGTTATGATTGTCACTGTGGGTTGCTTGGGTCTGTGGTAACAAGGAAGAAGAGAAAGAAACAACAAGAACACAAAGAGCAGTGCAAACACAACATCTACACAGACACACACAGGAGAAGCAACGCAGTACATGAAGCAGAAAAGAGAATAAGAGAAAAGAAAACAGGAAGAAGTATTCCCCCAT